TGGCCTTCGTGTGTGTCCAGCTCATCTAGAAAGGAGTTTGTCTCACTCGAAACTCTTAGAAACACCATCCCATACCTAAATATACGCTTGTTGAGTGAATCATTCATATACATTTAACACAAAAATTAATATAATCTTGTTGGAACATAAAATTTAATTTGTATCTTGTGTTCATTTTTTTGGTTCATTTATTGAGAGGTCCAAACACTAATATAGTTTCGTCGAGATCTCATGTATACGAAGTTCCATTATAAAAGAGATAAAGTAGTTGTATATTCGAGATATTTATCGATTACTGTTATCATTAATCAGGATAATTTTCTGCTTACAAATAGCGTGTTTCATGTACCACCGTGTTCGAAATGTTGATTTCAAGTTCATTAAGTTTGAATACGCTAACTTCAAAGTTTCTTTCCGATTCGTCGGTGCAATCGTTCCGGCTAAGACCATGCAGATTTGACTTTACACTTAGTTGAAAATCGAGAAGACCCTACATCTCAACTAGAATTTGCATGGGGATTAGAAAGTTTGAAATACTTGTTGAATAATACTTGCTCCAAACAGTGAGTAATATAAGTAGGTTTACAATCCAAGCAACAAACTTTGGATCACGTTGAATCAGGTACTAATTGTATTAAAGTATATTATGCGCTATGGAATACTTTATATGAGATATCCAACAATACTTGAAAGAAATTAAAATCCAAATGGATATCTAACATGAAAAACTCTAAAGTGACTACGTGATTATCTTAGGTGGTGGAGTAATCCAATTTGTCTAAACAAATATGTGTAACTAGATCCACATTGGAGTTTGAGTTTTACTTTTGGACAAAGTCGAGGAAAAAGTTAAATGACTTAGAAATTTTCTAAAATTTATTCCTTTTTTAGACTAAGTCCGTGCCACTCCAATGGTTCTTTGTGACAATTAATAAACTACTATAATTATGAAAAAATTAGCTTGTACAAAGGTAAGTCTTGCAATAACATTGGGACATTACTATAAGGAAAATAAATCTCATGTGAGGATTATATTGGTTGATTATATGTGTTCGCCTATATTTTTAAAGCTCGACCGCAAGTGTACGGCTTCATTCGTAGTATGTGGCAAGCAAGATCGTATCCCAAGAGACCAAATAATTAATATATCAAGTACCAGATTATGACAGTGTCAACTTTAATTAGACGATCGAATATGAGATGGATTAACTAAACTAAGAAAATATAATCAATAAGAAATAAAACAAAAATAAAGAACTAGCTAGAGTAACACGTAAGAAAATATATGGGAATGATAGATTCTAAGACTTTGGTTTCAATTAATAGTTGGGTTCCTTCAAAAATATCACAACTAAATGTTCCTTTATCTACCCTATAAAATGATCACAATTTTAGCTTATCGTCCCTCTCGAGATCGATAAAACCGTAGATTAAATCACATATATTAGCGTCTCCACTCAACACATGCAATTCAACTCCAAATAGATTAAAGGATCTAATATCCTCACAACGGCCTACTAATCTCTCGATTCAAGCAAGTAAATTGTGTCAAATATTAAAGACCTAATATTGAACCCATCTCTCGAATTATGAACAATATTGTCAAACATATATTGATCAAGTGCTAAACATGAAACAAGAACAAAATATTTGAATAGGGTTCAAAAGAAAAACAATCAATTATAATAATTCATCCAAAATTCCAACATATTAATCTACTACCAAGTCCTAGAATCAAATAAACTAGCCACTCATGTTCGAATTCAAATACATAGACATATTAGAAATCGACATGATCAATAAAAGTTCAAAAAGAAAGAAGAAATAAAAACTAGGAATTTCGTCGATCTTTCAATCTTCTTGATCCCTTCGTAGTTGATCTTCTTTTGCTTCCCAATTGCTTCTCTTGTGTGTTCTAGGTCCTATCTAATGTGTAATCACGTTCTCCCCATCAAAATAGGGTATATATGCCTTTTTTTAATGTCCAAAGCCCTTCTCCTTTTCAAAATAGGTAAGATATAAAAAACAGCCTGTGCGCGTGACACGGCCATTCTGCCCGTGTCACCGTCCGTGTCGCAACCCGTGTCAGCTCCCAGGTTACGAATTATCTCTGTTGAGGTGACACGGTCTCTGACACGGGCATGGTGCCCGTGTCACAAATCTGCACTCTTATTTTTTCTCGTTTCACTTGTTTCTTCCATTTTTTTCATCCGTGTCTTTCATCATCCCGGGGTCTTAGGTACTCACCATGCGCCTCCAATAACCAAAAGCTCTACAAATATGTGGAATTATCTACAAAACAAGTACGTGGAATACTTTTCCAACAAATAGAGAATTAAAGCACAAATATGCAATTTATACACCAATAATGCAATGACTAAGCTCTTGATACTCAATAAATATAGTGTAGAATCACACATGAACAATATGAAGTTAAAATACTGACCTAGAAAATTTGCTCATAAAAAGCATTAACCGAGATCCAAATTTACAAGCTGATTAGGGGAATGAATTTAAAAGGTCTAATACAAACGGACAATCTTAGCAGTAACATAACCTAGAGAATCGAGAGAACCAAAAACTTGCGTTCAATGGGAGAACTAAATTTCAACAGTTCTGCTCAAATATAAAATTTGTCTAAGTAGTGAGGTTAAATTAATAACTTTTCATGATTTCTATACCTATGAAAGAAGAAACAAAATAGTCTTCATAAGAGAACAACATTTCTATGTGAGAACCATATGACTTGTAAACACACACTTACTAAATCGAGATATGGGCCTAGGCCAAAATGGATACTACATGAGAATATAAAAGTATTAGTGCTATTGTTGTGTGGATATTGTTGTATTGGTGCACACATGGACGTAGCCAAGAGTAGGCTCGCCCGAGCTCCAACCCATTCTTAAATTTTTGGGTGTTCTAAATATATAGAAGTAAAAAATATTTTAGCCCATATTATATTAGTTTACCATATGATAAATTTATTTTTCTCCAACTTATTTAAATTTACTTTTAGAATAAATCAACAAATCACATATGTGTGCATGATCTTATTCTAATTCGTACACTTGCATTTTTTATTATTTTGTTTAGTCAAACAGAATTTATATAATTTTATTTCAAGATACTACCGATTCATATTATTTAAATTATTTCATATGTGGACTATAACAATTATTTATTGATTTTCAAATATGTGATATTTGGATATAAGAAATATACATTTATCTCAAATAAATTATTCCATGAAATCACATATAAATCTTCAAATTTAAGTGATATGCCATACAATAAGTATGCTAGTTGACATGTCTAAATGGTTTATTCATCTCTTAGTAGTATTTACAATAAATTATATTATTATTTTTATTTAAATAGAACTCAAGTAGGCGAGAAGAAATTATTTTTTATTTTCTAAACAAAGAATGTAACAAATCAATTGAAGAAATACATTTATGAGTTTAAGTTGAATGGGCAATCTCTATAAATTAGCGCCAAAAAGTATAATAAATGATATATTGTTTTATAAACAAGAAGACACCTTTTTAATAATTTATACACATTCGTTTCACTATGTGATTCATGTAATTTACATTAAATACTTAATAACAATATTTTCATGCTCTAGCTATTTTATTACATAGCATTAGCGACATTGTTCGAGGCAAATTGAGTTAAATGTGTTGTGCTTGACCTCGTGTTTTTTTTTTAATAAATGACTCTGCTCATTAAAAAATTTGAACTTGAGTTTAAGGAAACGAACGAGTTGCTTTTGGTAATAGTTGTTTAATTAAAAGCTCCATCTAGCGTAACAACTCATGGTAATAAAAATTACTGGCTACGCCCCTAGGTGCACACAAACAATTAGTCAGCTCAAAGAATTATACTACAAACTGGCTACTCTATTCGATACCATTTCACTAATAAAGATTTCAAGCCACAAAGTTACCAAACCATTCTATAGACATTGCATATGTTAGAATATCACTTGTGAGTTGTCCCACATCGTTTACACATGAAACATAGGCCTAACTTATAAGCCTAGTGGGTTACTCCTTCCACCAATTGGTTTTAGGATGGAACCTCACTAAGGCCCATCAAGGCTCACCCTGTTATGGTGCGCTTGCAATGACGTACCCGTCACCCAGCCCAGTTGAGCTTGGGCCTTGGGCTTTGGCCTCGTATTAAAGACTCAGAAATGAGGGGGCGTGTTAGAATATCTCTTGTGGGTGAGATGTGGGCCTAGCAATGACGTACCCGTCACTCAACCCAGTTGGGCTTAGGCTTAAGTTTAGACTTAGGCCTCGTATTAAAGACTCACAAGTGAGAGAACGTGTTCCAGTTGGGCTTAGGCTTAAGTTTAGACTTAGGCCTCGTATTAAAGACTCACAAGTGAGAGAACGTGTTGAAATATCACTTAAGCCTCGTATTAAAGACTCACAAGTGAGAGACTCACAAGTGAGAGAGCATATTGAAATATCACTTGTGCTCTCAACCTTGGGATCAATACCTCATAATTTTACTATACAAATAGTGTATTTCATATGCCTCAATTTTGTCATTTATCTCAAGTTCATTATATTCGAGTATGTATGTAGACTTCAAAGTTCGTCCATACCATCTGTCGCGGTTATCCGAAAAAATCAAGTTATAAATCTAACAAATCCATCTATTGATGCCGTACATAGGTGGGTCACTTAAATCAAATTCTTGTTGAACAATTGTTGTTGTGATCTTGTTTTTAACTTTTGAGTTGTGTTTTTTTGACGATTGACAGATACATGGAGGAAGTTCCAGAGAGGGACACATATAATAATGAGGACAAAAAACAGGGCAACCATTGCTGTCACCGTCATTAAATAGAGATGACGCTGACCCCAAAAATAAAATTAAATCAAAGAAAATTAAATTAAAATAAATTAATAATTACAAAGTAAAAAGGTAGATAAGAACCGTGTAAACACCTATTTTCCAGTTGGAACTATACCAAATGTGCTAAAAACAGAGGCACAGAGTGTCACAGAGTGTGTGAAATTTCCTTGTAGCAACACAATTCACAAAGTTACGTGCCATGTGACAAATACTATTTTTTATTTTTCTCTTTTTCCCACCTTTTACAAAGCTCACTTTATAAAACTCAAATAATCTGCACGAAACTCATCACTTTCAATTTCTAAACGACATAAATCAAGGTAAAAAAAAGGGGGAATAAAAACACAAAAAAAGGGTTCTCGAGTCTCGACTTCATGAAAAAATGGCTTCAGACAACCAAGAAAATGTCACCTTTCTGAAGAGAGTTGGTGAGTGGCTCAAGGGCACTTTGGGAAGAACTGTGAATGCTGTGATTAATACTGCAAAAGATGCCAAGAGACTTGGAGAAGAAGATCCCAGAAGAATTGTGCACTCCCTCAAAGTGGGATTAGCCATAACTGTGGTGTCTTTGTTTTACTATTTCGATTTTCTGTATCAAGGGTTTGGGGTTAATGCAATGTGGGCTGTCATGACTGTGGTTGTTGTCTTTGAATTTTCTGTGGGTAAGTTCCTCAATTTCTATCCCTTTTTCTTTATATATATTTTTAATATTCTCTGTTTCTTTTCTTATTTACAAAGATTTTTTTTTTTNTATGCAAATCGGGTCATTGAGATTGAGGTAATGGAATGCTTTTCTGTGTTTTTATCTGTTGATTCTTGAATGTCTGGCATGGTATGTACATTAAGTAATGAAAAAAATTCAATCTTTGTGTTTTCAGGAGCAACTCTTGGAAAAGGGGTAAACAGAGGAATTGCAACATTATTAGGCGGCGGATTAGGTGTTGTGGCTCATCGGTTAGCAAGCTTCGCAGGCGAAAAGCCAGAAAGTATCATACTTGGGCTATCTGTTTTCTTGATAGGTAAAAAAAATAAAATGATAAAAAAAAAATATCAGTAAAAACTCCATCTTTACAAATCTAAACCACAATACATTTCAATTGGTCTTGTTGTGTCATTCTTGCAGCTAGCATGACAACATTCATTCGTTTTTTCCCGAAAATGAAAGCGAGATACGATTATGGGTTGCTTATATTCATCCTCACATTCAGCCTAATATCTGTATCGGGCTATCGACAAGACGAGGTTCTTGACATGGCCCACAGGAGGCTTTCCACAGTCCTTATAGGTGGCTTGGCCACTATCTTCATTTGCATATTCATTTGTCCTACTTGGGCTGGTGAGGATCTTCACAAACTCACTGCAGCCAATATAGAAAAGCTAGGGGCTTTCTTGGAAGGTACATTTTGTTTTAAAGTTGCAATCTTGATATGTGTGTAATGTGTTTGTCCATTTCTATTGAGGTATGTTTGGATTCTATTAAGTATGTGACTTTGAATGAATTTTTGTAGGTTTTGGACGAGTGTACTTCCCAGAGCCGAATGAGGTGAACTTGGAGAACAAAATGCCTAAGGATGAATACAAGAGTGTTCTCAATTCAAAGGCCATTGAGGATACTTTGGTGAGTGCTTCTTGTTAAAAATAAATACCTTCGATTTTTTTTTTTAATTAGGGATCATTTGTAGCTTAATTATAGAAGTTCTAATAAAAATGTGAATACAATGGGTCTAATTGTGAATTCAAAAAATAATTGGAGTTTCTACTAATAGGTTGATTCTTGAATACTTTTTTGTTTTTGTGATCTATTTGTTCAATTTGATTGATTTTAAGAAAATTTGGTAGGTAAATTTCGCGAAATGGGAACCAAGGCATGGTAAATTTAGGTACCGCCATCCTTGGGACCAATACCTCAAGATCGGGTCTTTAACCAGAGAATGCGCGTTCAAGATCGACTCACTCAATGCATATCTCAGATCAGATGTTCAGGTAAAATTAAGTAAACCCTCTTAAGATCATGATCCATTCATTTTCTTCTATTATTAGCTTATATTGTGTAAGTACTAATGAATTCCTTAAATTTGTGTTCTGTTGTATATTGCAGACACCACTCGAAATCCGAGCAAAAATAAAAGAACCGTGCGTGAAAATGAGCTCCGAGTGCAGTTATGCCCTGAGGGAACTTGCAGTCGGGATCGAGAAGATGACTCGTTCGTTGACAGCCGATATTCATGTTGTAAAAGCAAAGGCGTCTGCCAAGAGGCTCAAAGCCCAACTGAAAACGGGCCTTTGGCCCGATACTGATCTGCTGGACATAGTGCCGGCTGTCACGGTTGCTTCGCTGCTGGTCGAGATCGTCTCGTGCACGGTGAAGATAGCTGACTCGGTCTACGAACTCGCCTCGCTGTCGAAATTCAAGACGCCCGATGCGAAGATGACGAAGCAGCTGAGCCTGGAAAGGGTGGTTTCTAGGACTGTTAGTATTGAAGGATCACACAATGTTAATATCATAGTTGAATGATTTGGCCATTTGTATGGCTAATGACAACTTATGTAGTCAGTTGGTGTGGACATTTGAGAATATGAGTTTGTGAACATTTAAGAATAGGAGAATGAATAATAACTCGGTTTGAGGACAANAGTATTTCTATGGCAGCTTTATGCGGCGTTGAAGTTTTTTGGAGTCTAAATTTGGACCGAGAATTGCCTTCTCGCTAGATCTATCTCGGCGGTTTGAATTTGGCCACAGTTTTTGGATTTGGGGTTTTCGTTTGTGAATCAATTGGGTTTCTGTGCTATGGGGAGTGGCTCGTATGCTCGTTTGGGTAATAGTGCGGTTTGTCTGCTAGGTATAAGGGATGTCTTAGTCTATTGTGTATTAGGTGTGCATCGTTTTTATTTTTCTTTGTTTTTCGTTTTGTTAGTCCAGCTGTGTTTGACTTTTAGTTTACTTTTAGTTTTTTATATGGAGTTTGTGTCTCCTATTTAGAGTTTTGTTCAGTGGGTGCTTGTGTCTCATGTTATTAAGTTCGTACCCCATTGGTCACCTATGTAATTTCAAGAGGTATGGTTCAGACTTTATTCTGGTTCTAGTGGTGTCAGTTGGCACCTCAATTGTACTCTTTTGAGTTTCCAGTTATTAATATAGTCAACATCGAAGGTGAGTCATGTTTTTTTTTGTTGTCGGTAATTTGCTGAAGCCACTAAATGAGGGTGAATCCCATCGATTAAAGGTACGTCTTTGAGCATGTTTCACATTTCGAAGAAAGATCTGAAACAAAAGAACCCTGATTTGGGAATTAGGGTTCCTGTCAAAATGAACTTCCAATAATCCGAACCTTAATCAATGTAATTCGTATACATTATGTTGTTTGTTTGTTCGTTTCGTAATTGAAATTAGTGAACAAATATCCTTTCTATGAAGTCCATCGACTTTTGAAATTACTGCTGAGACATTCAAAAGTGAATGTGCTATGTGTTCATGTGTGATTTTACACCATATTTATTGAGTATCTAGAGCTTAGTCATTGCATTATTGGTGTATAAATTGCATATTTGTGCTTTAATTCTCTATTTGTTGGAAAGGTATTACACGTGCTTGTTTTATAGATAGTTCCATATATTTGTAGAGCTTTTGGCTATTGGAGGCGCATGGTGAGTACCTAGGACCCCCGGGATGATGATGGATTGATGCACGGATGAGAAAATTGGAAGAAACGAATGAAACGGACAAAAACGAGCAAGCAGGATTGTGACACGGGTAGTTGCCCGTGTCAGAGACCGTGTCACCACAACAGAGGCATATTGGGTCAGTGCACCTGACACGGGCTGCGACACGGCCTGTGACACGGGCAGAATGGCCGTGTCGCGTGCGGAAACAGTTTTTTAATACTTGTCTATTTTGACGAGGAGAAGGTTTTTGGACATAAAAGGAGGCATATTTAACCTATTATAAAAGGGAAAAACGATTTTAGACATTGGAGGAGCCCTAGAACACACAAGAGAAGCAATTGGGAAGCAAAGGAAGATCAACCACAAAAGGGATCAAGGAGATTGAAAGATCGACGAGATTCCTAGTTTTTATTTCTTCTTTCCTTTTGAACTTTTATTGATCATGTTGATTTCTAATATGTCTATGTATTTGAATTCGAACATGAGTGGCTAGTTTATTTGATTCTAACACTTGGTAGTAGATTAATATGTTGGGATTTTGGATGATTGTTCGTTCCACTTTTGTCACGTTTTCTTTGTTTATTTCATGCTTGTTTTTCCCCTACTTAGGTATTTTTCTTTGGTTCTTGGTCCGTTTCGAGTCGTCTCGCGCATATCCTTTGTTTTAGTCGATTTTGGTCTTTTTGTCCGTTTTTCCCGTTTTTCGTATTTCTTGTCGGTGATGATGTGCAGGTTCGGTGGCTCGGTGCATGGATATGCGAGGTCTACTGTCTAGATGGATGAGTTGGGGTCGTGTTGGAGAAGACGGGGTCAAATTCCGAGTCCGGATGAGAGAAAACGAATCCAAAAACCAACATTCAGAAATTGTTCGCCGCGGCCGCGGAGAAGAGAAAGTCGCGGCCGCGAGATACACGGAAGTCCCAGTTTCTGGCTCGGGGAGGTCGCGGCCGCGGAGCAAGTCGCGGCCGCGAGAGGTTCTTCGCCGCGGCCGCGGAGGTCGCGACAGCAGAATTTTTAAGTTGCGTTTTTTGATCAGTTTTTCATTCACTTTTCACCTAGGTTTAGACTCTCTCTCGTTTTTATTCACTCCAAAACAGTTTTTCTCTTAGTTCTTCATAGGATTTGATCTTGGATTGTGAAAACACCAAGATTAAGCTTGTGGATTCGGTTATTCGTGTATTCAACATTGGATTTTTCAATCGTAAGCTTTCGTTTCGTTTTCTTATTGATTGAATGGCTTTGATTATTATATGTGTTGGAGTTGAATGCATTATGAGTAGCTAAATCCTTTAGCTAGGGTTAAGGGAAGATCGTTCCGGTTTGATTTTATTTATATGCATGATAATTGCTCAATCCTCTCGAGTTGTGCTTAATTTAGGGTTTTGATGATTGATCACCATCTTGATCTATCTAATCGATTTTAAAACTGAAAAGGGAGAAATCGTTCGATCTAGGCTCGTTAGGAATAAGCTTGTTCGTAATAGTATAGCTTATGTGTTGATTGCTTCAAGAATTGCTTATTTATGTCTATCCTCTTGTTACGAAGAGTTATTGAGGATAGACCTCTAGATGAGTAGTTTAGCGAAACGTTCAACCGAGCTCTTGATTGCTCGTTAAGTGTATTGAGAACCGGAATTGATCGACCCCGATACCCTAGCTCCTTCTTTATATATTAAATTTGTGATTCCTAGTTTGCTTGCCCTGTTCAATCACTTGCTTTTCAAATTAGTAGACGATAATCAAATCTCCAAACTTGATTTAGAATGTTTAGGATTTTCACTTCTTTTATTTTCCATTTCTGTGCTTGAATAATCGTACAAAATAATCCGGCTAACCTTCCTTGAGACACGACCCGGTGTTCGAATCTTTTGATTTAACTCCGGTAAAAATAACTACAACAAAATGGCGCCGTTGCCGGGGAAGGTTTAGGACTTATTTTGTGCGCCTATTCATTTTGTTTTTAGTGTTTCTCTTATTTCTTGTGATTTTTCTTGTTTCCGTGTTTCTCTTGATTTCTTTTTATTTGTTAGGTGTTAGTTCTTGTTTATTTTTATTTTCCTTTTCTTATCATTGGTGCTCGTAACCCTTGTTGGTCTTAGTGTATGCGTACCAGGAGTGGACGCAAATTGCTATCTCCGATCAACAAATCAGTGAACGAGAGCCTGAGGGAGCTGCTGGAAGAGCTTACTCTCGAGTCTAACGAAGGAAACGAGCACTCCCCGAAATCGTCAGAGGGCAGTAACGTCAACATGGATGAGCAACAGCAACAACCGCCTCGTAACACCCTCCGAACCTTGGCCCAGCCGGTTATCGGGCCAGTCACTTCGTGTATCTGTTTACCAGAGCCCGCACGGAATTATGAGCTAAAAATGATTCATTACAACCAGCTGCCGGCATTCCATGGACTCCCGAGCGAAGACCCGCTTAACTTCATCCGGGAATTCTACAATGTCCTCAACACCTTTCCACTGAACGGGCTGAATGAGGATCAGTTGAAGATGAGGTGCTTCCCAGAGACATTGAAAGACCGGGCCAAGGCCTGGTTCATGACACTTGCACCGGCATCTCTGACCACCTGGACCGAGGTTTACACGAAGTTTATTGGGAGGTACTACTCCCATCAGAAGACTCAGGAGCTCCGGTCACAGATCGTCTCGTTTGCCCAACTACCGAATGAGCCTCTTCACGAGGCCTGGGAGCGATTCAAGGATCTCCAGCGACAGTGTCCCCACCACAATCTTTCACCGGGACTACTAATGAATTGCTTCTACGACTCCCTCAACCAGAATTTGCAATACATGGTTGATAACGCTGCAGGGGGAGACATCGCTGCGAAGACAGCCGAAGAGATGTATGAGATTTTTGAGACGATGAGTGCTAATTCGTCTCAAAAGAGCAATCGAGGGAAGAGGGTCCTGGTCAACGAGGTATCTTCTGCTCAAGACATGATGGCCCAGCAAATAGCCGAACTCACCGAGCAAATGCGGCTAATGAATGCACGAGGAGGCCAGTCCATGCATACCATGGCAGTAGACACATGTGGAGCATGTGGAGTTCAGGGGCATAGATCCGAGGTGTGCCCATCGGCGTTTGACCAGGAGGTAGGAGAACAATATACGGACGTCAACGCCCTTCAAGGTTATCAAAACCGGCAAACCAATGACCCCTATTCCAACACATACAACCCTGGGTGGAGAAATCACCCAAACCTCTCGTGGTCTAACAACAACAATACTCTCCAGCCACCTCGTCCGAACTTCAACCAACAGCAGCCCCGCCCAAATTTCATGCAACAGCAAAACCTTCCCAACTTCATTCCCCGTTCGATCTACCAACAACAGCAGCAACCACAACAGCAAGCCCAAGGTTCCGGTTCAAGCTCGTCAAATCAAGATGACAAGCTGGATAAGATCCTTCAGTTTATCACAAACCAGGACTCATCTATTAAGCGTCTCGAGACGCAAGTGGGTCAGCTTGCCACGAGAGTCGGGAATATGGAGGCTGAGTCAGACAAAGGGAAACTTCCGAGCCAGCCCGAGCAAGCAAAGGCTATAACAGTGTTGAGGAGCGGAAAAGAAGTGGACAACAAAGTAAGAATGCCCGAGCCTGTTGACTCCAAACCAACCGACCAGCCCGAAGAAACCGAGGAGAGTACGAAGAGCACGGAAACCGACTCGGGAAAACCAACAGAGAGTCCTTTGTTGCACAAGTCTCCAAATCCTTACAAGCCACGTATCCCTTTTCCGAGTAGACTCCGGGACGAGAAGCAAGAGCAACAATTCCGAGATCTCTACAACATGCTCTCAAAGGTCAACGTCAACCTGCCACTCCTGGACGTGATCAAGACTATGCCCTCGTACGTGAAGTTCTTCAAAGACTTAGTGACGAAGAAGAGGAAATTTGGAGACGGAGAGAAGGTAGTGGTTTACGAGGCTGCGAGTGCCATGCAGCATGAACTTCCGAAGAAAGAGCGAGACCC